TATTATTATTATTCAACGAATCTTATTGTTTGTTTTTTCTCCCTAACTAAACTAGACCTACTGAATATAAGTTAGAAATTTAGATTTGTATTTTCATTTACACATTTTCAGCTAAGTTGAATACAATTTATCACAGGTTTTTTACATTACTATTTGTGTAATCTAAGTTCATATTATTATTATTATTATTTAGCGTTGAGACATTCTCAACAAAAACAGTTCTTTTCAGAACTACTTAGATAGGAGGCTCAGCAATACCCAATATTCTCATTATTATTTACACACCCGCATTATGCAAATTAATATATCAACATTATGGAAATTAATATTAATTTTATCAATATCGTTATTATTTACACACCCTCATTATGCAAATTAATATTTCAACATTATGGAAATTAATAAACAACCATATATAAATTAATATACCAACATATGCAAATTAATATACCAGCATATTCAAATTAATATACCAGCATATGCAAATTAATATACCAGCAAAATATGCAAATTAATATATCAACACTATAAAAAATTCATACCCACATAATTATGAAATTATTATGTAATCATTCATGAATAATTAATGACCTCAAGTGTCATTACTTCTACTAATTTTACTCTCGTTCGGAGCGTATATATTGATAATTAAAAAATGTTTTCCATGTATTATTAAGTTTAGAAATATGTATCTTCCATTTGTGTCAATCAACTTCTTAACCAATTTACATTCAATACCTTTTCGTCTTTAGTGATATTATATTCTAATATGACCACAACATAAGGAAGAACACTTTGTCACCTACAAAGTTCAGACCCGTATACATTTATATTTCCTTAGGCCTAAATCATAAGGAAGTCCGCTCTATATCCAAATTTCAGGAAATTATACGTTTTATGCATGCACCGACGTGGAAATTTTGTTTTATGTTGTTTGCTGAATGGTCTTCTTTAAAAATATAACAGTCTAATATGACCACAACACAAGGAAGTTCATTCGTTAAATGTTTAGTAGATATTACAGAGAATTATGAGTGTTTATCAAAATCATTATATAAAGGGTCGATGGCCTGCGGATTTTAGCACGAGAACGTGTAGGCGTTACTCCATGCTGAGCATGGATAGCTGTTCTATAGCTGGGTACTACATTCCGGCTAAAAAAAACTCCGCCTTTTGGCCTTTTTACATCCTGATTGATGCGTCGGGGATAATAGTGTTGTGTTCGTTGACAATCAATAGAAAATTCAAAATTAGTGAGTGGTAAAATAATCGAGCTCTCCTTTCGCCCTCTGCTGGATCCGTCACTGAACTCATGAGTACACTTCCTTTTTTCCCTCTTTCTTTCTTCCCTTTAACTCTTTTAAATTTTTTTTAATTTTTCGGCGTGACTGACAGGGGTGGGGGAACGGGCCCCCGTGGCCCCCCGCTGGATCCGCGCCTGAACCTACCTAGGCATATAGGTTGGCAAATCAGAAAAACTATGCTTAGCCCAAATAGCCTTCAATTAAATAAAATTATACAAAAATTATACAAACTGTTTTTGGTTCAATGTCGTAATAATGTATGTACGAAAGTGCGTTCTATTGTTGGAATATAATAATTTATTGCTTATGTCTTTGATTTTTTTTCTCTATATAATGGCCTAAAGAATGAGATAAAATTACCAGATCTTTTTCAAGAGGAGAAAACCTTGAATTTTGAAGAACTTAAAGGTCATTAAAAACTCCTCAGAAGTCGGGAAAGCTCATTTCCGG